TCGGCAGACGCTCCCTCAGAGCCGCGCAGCCCGGTGTTCCCAGCGTCTGAAGGGACCTCAGGCTGCCCGTGCTGTCCTCTTTGCTGTTGGCTGTAATAAACAGCATTTTAAATGATTTAATGGCGTCCGAGTGCCTGCCTTGGCGGGATGATCGCAGGCCAGCAATTGCTGGTGCAAAACACCCTCCCACCATGCCAGAACAGCGGGCGGTGGGGAAGAGCACCCCGGTCTGCAGAGAGGATGTGAGAGTTGGAAGCGTGTGGCAAAGGTCGATGCTCACTGCTCTGTTTACAAAAAATCAACCAACCCAATGCCCGTAAATGATAACAAGCCAGTTAGGAACTGAAATCCTAGAATATCCTCTAGGTCATCCACATCCTGATGCTACAAAGTTTAATTCTAGAGTTGCTGATTTATTTTTTTTTAATTTAAAGAGGAGAAAAGGAGTAGTACTTCCCCTTCCTGCCCACTTCTGCTCACACATAGACACACGTACTTCCCATGATAAAGCATCCCTGTACTCCAGACAGGGACTGGGTTGGACTGGGAACCTCGCTGTATTTCCTGCAGGCCAACCGGCCCTTTTGCCTAAGGTCAGCGAACATCTGTAGCCTCAGTGTGGGAATGCGAGTAGTGTTACTGTCAGACTAATACAAACTCTGATCTCCTGCGAGGTAGAATGAATTATTTCTACAAGATACTTGAGAATAAGGCCATTACCGAGACATCAAGGAACGTCGTAGCTGTTGAGAACATCTCGTAGCAAAAGGCACGACATTTGAGAAAAGTCAAAAACGTAACGAAGAATTCCTCTTAAGTTTCTGCTACTACCAGTTCAGGATTTGTTTTTTTCAACTCTTTCTGTCTAGAACTTAAATAAATGTTTCCTGTTTGCTTTGTAGTGGTATATCCCTTGCAATCTATTAAACAATGAGCAAGAACATTTTGTACTGTCTAATTTGAATGTGACAGAGTAGTGTTCATTACACACAGTCTCTATCAAATACAGTACTTGTTGACTAGTACTTACAGCTAGCTTTTATCACGTACAGAACACTAACGGGTTCCTTTTAGCCTTTGTAGGGTTGGCATAACTCATGTAATGGAGAGGAGGGGCAGATCAAACTACGTGCATTAGCCAGGTGTCAGCCTGAAGGTCAGGATGAAAGCTATCTGAGGTTTTACGGTACATGATGAAACAAGACATTTATTATAGGTTAAGGCAGTATATTATTATATGAACTAGTATAGATTTTTTTTTTAAGAAAATAAACACTTCACGGGGAAAAAAGCCCTTATTTAAATCTGAAACAGAAGCAACGAACTTCAGCCTGAGTGGAACTAGAGAACAATTTTCCGAATTTCTTTAGGTGTGAATGAGACAATCAGAGAAAAGGAAGTTGATACCTGTGGAATAGGAGTAATACTAAGCGGGAGAGTAAGAGAAGTAATAGATAATTATCTCTTGGTGGTGGAGAAAAGAACAGAGAAACAGGTAATTTCTAATCTCTAAAACACAGAAAAGAGAGGCGGAATGGAAATTGTAATATGTCATAAAAAAATCCGAAATTACCTGGTATCCACTAGCATTGCCTGTGTCCTTAAGCCTGTTTGCTATTCTGACACCATCATGACAAGCTTTGGCTGTGGCCTTTCCTGATGGCCTTATTTCTGCTGTCTACTCTCACTGCTCACACAGCTCAGAGTGCTTTCAGTCAGGTTGCCAGGAAAGAGGAATGACATTCCTGCAGTGTTTTGCAAGGAGAGGAATTACTTAACTGACTGAGAAGGTTGTATCTAGTACTGTCCTCTGTTGCATGTTTTTCTGCTGAATTTTTGTTGACAACTGAAATTAGCGGTTTTTACAGCTGCACTGAATCACAGTCTTTCTGCAGTAGCATAGATTTAACGGCAGTGGGGTACTGCGTATCAACACAGTCCGTGCTCTTGGAGCAATGAAATATTTCTAAGCTATCAAAAAAAAAAAAGAGAAAACAAAAAACAACACAGGGTATCTCTACGTATGCTATTAGCAATACACTGTAACTCACTATCTAGTGGAATATATAACCACTGGGCAATTTTTAAATTTCTGTGAATCAAAAATATAAAAGTTCATAACCCAGTATCCTACACTGTAAACACAATATAGGTGAACAGTTCTATTGCTATTTTATTTAAGACTGTTTTTCAAGCTGTTTGATCTAAAAAGAAAGTTCCTTTGTGATAATAACCTCCTTCACATATAAAATAAGTTATCCAAATCATTTATTCAAGAAAATATTTGACAAATTGCTAGTGTTGTTCTTTTATAACAACTAATTACTTCTGTAAAATTAAGGTTATATAAGCGTTCTCTACTGTAAGACAGTTTTCAGGAGAATAAATTTTCCAAACATATCTACCATACTTTATTTTTTTAATGAAGTATTGTAAACGTCCCATACCACTTAAGATCTTTATTGTGAAAGCTACACTTAAATATACACAAAAGATCTTGAATATAACTGTTGAGATACAGTTCCAGCTTTTTTTTTCCCCCGTCAAATATCTGATGCAGAAGAATTATACAGGTTTTAATAAATAAAACAGTAAATTATGATATGATGAAGATAACTAAGAAAGTTATTCATTTCTGTATATATATATAAACACCAGCATCTTTGTACCCTTCTTTGGGTATTTGAGTGACAGTGGGTGGATCCTTTGATGTTTTTACTCACTTGTAAACATACTTATTTCTTCTGCTTGTAAACAGACTTTTTAAAACCAGTATGCACGTACTTAATGAAAATAAGCTAATCTACACAAAGAAGAGCTACAGTATCATAATTTTGTTTTAGACATTAAGTCAGCAGACATCCTCCAGCCAGATTAAAAAAAACACCTTTTCAATTATACGTTGATCTGAATTCCAGGCAAATAGTTAACACACTGCATGTTATTAATAGCATATTCCTAATTACTTCTTTATGAAAGCTGAAAAATGAGTTGCAATATGGACTTTTTATTTATTTCAAGTAAATAAGATACCATGTTCTTCTGCAAGAGCATTTGCAGATAAAGATGCAATTATTAAAAAAACCCACAAGTTTTCATATGTTAAAATAGAGAAAGTATTCATTCATGAGTATTTACAATCGCTCATGTTTAAAAGCATTGCTAAATTCTGTGCTTCACTTTGTATTTCTGTCAAGAAGTGTACATTCTTCCCCTTAAACTTCTGCTTCTAGACACTTTACAGCGGCCTCAGGCTTGGTTTGAGACTCTTCTACCTTTTTTCCATTATTTGTTTCCTTCTCAGGTGTTTTGTCATTTGACTTAGCTTCTTTGAGAGCAGTAGTTTCAACCATTTCTTTTTGCTGATTCTTGTTTGAAAATGGGAAGGTTTTCTTGTACCTTTAAATGGAAAAAAAGGATAGTAAATCAGAAACATTGACATCGTGTTTGGTAGTATCACTCAAGAAATAAAGTGAAATAATTTGCCATACTCAAGCAAAAGTCTTACAGATCACTGTGAGACTAGTGGCACACTAGATCACTGCTTTTTCAAGCAGTGTGCTTTTTAAATAAATATTTTCTTTTTTAAAAAAAAACAGACAATGTATATTCAGGATTTGTGGTACATAACACTAAAGCTATCTGGGCTAGGATGTGAGAAATGCACACAACTTTTCGATAGAATTTAATGACGAACTATGTTGAAGATCTTTACGCATGACAAATGAGCTTAACAGTTACTTTCTTCTGAACACAATCATAGTCCAAGAATAAAAACTTTTACCTTGAGTCTGACATAGAAAGAAACAAGAATAAAACTGCATAAACAGGCTTATATACAAACAGCAGCACTCTTCGGTGTTGCTATTTTGCTACGCTTGGAAATGTTTCACACGAGGCATGACTGACTAATCAAAAATAGGCAATATTTGTCTTCAGTTCATTTTCTAAAGCAGGGAATGGCAACAGCAGCAACAAACTTTATCTGCATAACAACAGGGTTTAAGATTTTATTCTTCCTGCTGCACTGTTATGTCATTATCACTAATTCTCTGCTCTTTAACTATATTTTTAAAATATTCACTAGTTGTACTCTAGGAGTTAACTCAGTCCAAGAAAAAAAAAAAAAAAGAAAAAACTTACTTTTTGATATAGCAGACTGCTAGAACAACTGAAATAATGAAGAAGATGACTGCCAGTACAAGAAGTGCAGTGGGGATACCTAGAGTTAAAAGTAAGGTAAGCATAGAGTTTTTATATGTACTTAATTCTGACTCTCTAAAGGCTAATGAGCATAAATCTAAATTCTTCTAAAAACAGCCTAGTCTAATTGGTACATACACATCAACTCAAGAATAGAGGTATTAGGAATCTCATATGATTAGTTACTCCTGCTTATTTTTTTTCAAGAGAGACTAGAACAGGTATTTAGGCAGTCCCTGACAGATGTTTGTCTAATCTGCTCATTGGAGGGTTTTTACAACCTGCCTAGAGAACGCATTTTTGTGATTAGCTGTCCTTACAGTTAAAGTGCTTTTCCTCATATTTAGTCTATTTCTCAGTTGATGTACATTAGGATTCTTTAGTCACACCTTGTATCTTGAGAGAACCTCCATATTTGGAGAACAACAAGTCTCCTTAAAACTTTTTTGGCTTCTTTTGTTTTTAAGAGCCTGAGGAGTTTTCCATTACTCTGAGCACATGGTGTTTGCTAAGACTTTCTCAGAAGTGTATTTACCTCAAATCACATTAACCAGAATGAGCTTCCACCATTTCATATTAAAATATTATCAAAAAGTATAAAATAAGATCTTACGTCTACTTAAAAATTACTTAAAAATCCTCTGCTTTATAAGCTTTGCTTTTGCAAAACCACAGCATTCCTATTCTGCCTCCAGGTTCAGCTGTATCAAAACAGATGCTGGAGTAGCAAACAAAAATAGCAGCAAACATTTTACTACTAACATCTAGGTAACTAGCTCTTCTGATTAAATAGCTTCCATATATGCCTTTACCTCCAAAGACACTGGCATCATTCTTAAAGGCAGCATGGGAAGTGTAGTTAGGAGAGTCAATCGGTGAGTATTCCTCTGGCATTTGTGTCGTAGTCCCCTCTGTTGGTAATATAGTTTCAGTTATACATATTACACGAAATTTTATATTTTTCAGGGATTTTTCTGACTCAGTCACATTGGGCACTGCTGTGATGTTCTCGGTCAAATCAGAGCCTGAATGTGCAGTTAAGTCCGTTGGTGCACTTGATGAAGGTAGTATGGTTGTAGCTGGATCTGACTTACATGAATTAATCTGAACATCTGCAGCCGGAAAGAAAATACATAAGAATTGTGTTGGATGTTAGTTTTGTTCTTACTGTACACACACGTTTATAGAAATTGTTCCTCAGTCATTACCTTATGGAAATTATTGTTTGTTTATTCACAAAAGCCTTACTCAAATCAGGCATGCCTATTTCAAACATGGTGCTACAACCCAGATTACGCACCTTTTATCATTACTCACATAATTAAATGCTTTTTTGAAAAAGTGTGATGCTCATTTTACAATTGCATACCAATGACAAGATTAGTCCTGAAAAGTATGTAAAATAATAATGCATATGAAACGCAATAATATGACCTCCTGCAGAGCAGGACACTTAATTGCAGATCCAAGATTAAAAAATATTTCTATTATGTTATGTGTATGTTCAAAACATACGCATGCACTGTTGATACATGGAACACTACTTTGACTTCCTGGAAACAAAAGTAGCCCATAAAACTTTCAGGTAAACCAGGCATCAGTGTAAGATTAAAAAGTGGCACGATTCTAATGGGGGCAACCAAGAAACAAACTTCAGGCACATTCAGAAATTACGTCATTTAAATGATGTGAATGTTGTCTATATGAAAATGTGGGTGCAAGTGGACTTTTATATGTAAGTGGAAAAGCTGAGTTCTGAATCAGGCTTATGTGAAAAGGTGAAAATTCTTCTTTTCTAATGAAGTTCTGTATTCTGTAAAGCTATAAAAATTTCACTAAAGTAACAAGCAGATTACAACATAAGCAAGAGGAAAATGACGTATGTACTGTTCTCCAAATGAATCCCTGTGGGAAGTCTGGTGACGCAGTTACATTCACAGAATAAAAAAGCTAAATAGCTGAGACTTTTTACTTTTTCCACTACAGTTTTCAAGCCATTTTGACATTTCTTTGGCAAGAGGAAAATTGACAGAAAGAGTTTCTGCCAAATATTTTGGGTAAGAAATACCTAGAACAGGCAAGTTTGGCAGCTAAGATAAAGAAACACAGAATCATCCCAATGTTAAATATACATTACTTTATTTTCTAACCATTCAGCAAGCTTAACTTTCTTCACATACAGTAACAGTATAATTTTTTGAATTAAAGCTAAACAAAGCAAGTAATATGGAATTATTTGCTACCTCCTTAGCATTACCAAATCTACCCAACATTTCTGATGCAGAATGACATATTTCTTGCGCCGAAACACCATATTGCATAGGAACAGAAGAAATACAGTACCAATAGGAGCAGCTCCTTTTAGAGCGTGTTGCTGGAGTAGTAACTCACTTTTGCATTCATCAATAAAGGCTACGGACTGTAGAGAAAAACTGTTAGCCCAATCCAGTCATTTTTAACTTTACAGGTAGGTGGTAAGTCAACTTTCAAAGGAGCTTTCTCTCTGCAGGGCTTTCTTATCTGCAGTATCACAGATACTCTGTGAGTCGACTGCTTGTATTATCTACCCTCCTTCACGAAAATGGCCCAAAATCATGAACAAAGTGCCACTGGTGAAGGCATGGCCTTCCCCTAACAGCTTCATCGTCAGTCTCTTTGTAAGCTCCAATGTGCACAGTCACCAGACATGGTCTCAGGTCTTTATATCTGCATGGGCATATCTTGCATATCCATCCTTGTCCTGCTGTTTCCAAACCTTATTTACACATCTTTCCTGAAAAATTTCAGGATTTTGTATAAAATCTCTTGCTCTTCTTATCTAAAACTCATTGACAAGGTCAAGGACTGATTAGAAATAATTTATTGATCCTGTATATGGTCTAATTATTGGGACAGTTGTTACCTAATAACCATAAATATGGGACACTAGCAGGAACCCAATGCCTCTAGTTACATACTTATTTTTACTTAATACCACAGAAGTCATGAAGAAACAATACTGATCTATTGTGCTGAGAAGATCTAACTTACATCAAGGGGCAAGTTCCACTGTTATATCTTCAATCTGTGAATGGACAGTCAAGAATGTGGGAAAGGACAGGTCTTTTCAAATGTAAGATGATGCACATTAAAGGAAGCTGTTTGATTTTACTGATAATAGATTTGGAATCTAGTTAATTTTATGGTCTCTCAGCTGTTCTAGTTTATATCTTAGTTTAGTTTAATTGATACATTTCCTTTTTTCAAAAAACATTCAACTTTTCCTGAAGTTCCTCACTTCTGGACTTTTTGTAAGAAACTACACAGCACACACAGACACTCTGGTTAAAGATTCTATTCACTGTCTTTCAAATTAACGTGCCTAAATAGTTAAAACATATTAAGAGCATCGTGTCAACATTACAGAATGGTAAAAGCAACTCTTCTTCCAGACCTTTCACGGTAGCACCAAATTATTAATTCAGATTAACTGAATTGACCTTTTGTATTTCTCGGAAGCTTTTTTCTCCTACAGAGCTAAATACAGCTTGACAACATTTAAGATCAGGAAGAGAGGCCTAAGAAATTATAAGAACGAACTCACTTGTTATGATTTTTTCATGCAGATATTAAATAATAAAACCTAAACCAAAACACACAAAAAATGCAGTTGTCATGCTTACATACCTGAGGAATTGAAGCAGTAAACCTTAAATGTTTTAGAGAGTTCAGCATGCCACTGCACTAGTCCAACGTTGCCTTTACCACATTTGCTGTTGGATGTTATCCGAGGAATGACAACAAATCCATCTTTCACCCATCCATAGCTACAATAAAAAGCATCAGTCGTTTTAATATTAGATTTATCACCAGCCTCAGGTGTGTGTAAAGGAGTTCACTAAAGGTAATGAGACACTAACTGATGTCATATACCTGCATGTTTCAAAGCCATGTTTCAAAGCTTTTTCAACTTGGTTTTTACTTGCCAATTGTAGATTCAGTTGATTGCATGCCTTATTTGCTTCTGAGAAATTCACTTTCTCTTCAATATAAACTCCTACACCTGTGATCCTGCAAGGTGTAACAACGGAACCTGTAATATAGACATAAATATTCAAGGTTAGTATTTGAATATTAATATTTATTCCTCATGAAGAATTTAACATCACATTCAACTGAATTGAATGTTGTTAAAAGTTTCTAGCTTGACGATAGTAGAAAACTAATTTATAGCAAAAAGATATACCTTAAAAAGAGAACATAATTTCTTAACACAATAGTCTAGAATTTCAAGAGGTTGGCTGTTATCAGACTAAATGCATATACAGTTGGCATTTGAATCATTACCTGGAGTCAGTTTCTTACTAAAGACGTTCTTATTTGTCATACTTATTCAAGCAAAACAGGAAGATTAATCAGACAGGGTTTTTTTTCTTTTTTTTTTTAAATTAAAATGATAAAACTACCAGTTGCACCGAGGCACCGATTCCGTCAGAACACACTCTTACCAATATGAGTTCTATCAGAGGTATTATACATAATTATTCATGGAATGAATACACCAATAAGAAAATACACCTACAAAGATTTTAGCATTCCTTGTGTTCCTTATTCCTCTGAAACATCTTTTTTTTTTTCCTAGCTTGGCATTGATGCTTCCACCCCCCCAGCCACTGTCAAGTGTTCCATTTATGGAGTGCTTGGCAGGCAGCAGCAAAAGAGGGGATAGGCCAGGTGACTTTATGACTCTTTTCCTCTTTCCTCCTCCATAGGCAGTTAGTTCATCCAGCTTTTTTAGATAGCCACAGCTGGCACACTGTCCATGACACCTGCACCAGGAAAGGCATAGCTTACATCTGATTACAGCTGCTCTACTTTCTTAGCCTGTGTTAAGGACATAGGATAGAATTCTCGATTTGACACAGATAAGGAGAATTGATATTACTCTTTTGCCTCCATATTTCACTGGAAGCACACACTGGAAGTTATTTTTCTTTTTGAGTTACATACAGTAATTGCCATATTAAATGAAACATTTCAACATTTCATTGCAAAAATGTTAGACAAGCAGCAGCCACAGGTGTTACTTCCTTGCTCAATACGCTCTTCAGACTGCATGTACCAGGTGCATGTACCAGGTACGTACACTAATTAATACTTCATAAAATCTGTGCATCAGAATACAGGCGATCCACAAACTCTCAAGGCAGGATGACATGATGCTGCAGATCCACTACCTGACTTCTTAGCAACAGAGGTTAAATTGAATTTTATGAATGAAAAGATAGAACTAGCAGCCAAGTCACTCCTATGATCAAAAGGGGATAAAAAGATGTCTAGGCGTGTGTGGAGTGCCAAAAAAAGGGCAGGCTTTTCTCTCCTGCCCCACTGGCTGTGGTGGAGTTGGAAATGGCTTCTGGTAAAAGATGCATCTCTGCTGTCCTTACATTTAATTTAATTGGACTTAAATGTTTGGTAGAGCAATCATTGAATTAGGTGGATTTACCTCAGCAGCAATGGAGGCTGTGGCCTCCCATTAGCACTTCCTGCTATGGTGCAGTCCCAGCCACTGGTGAGCCACTGAACACCAGAGCAGTCTCAATAGCCAAGTTGTGGCTGCATGTAGCCCTGACTTGAACATAAGACCAGCCCAAACATATTGCATGAGGATGCAGAGAAGCCCTGTTGCTCAGTGAAGATGTGTGTAGGTATCAAGGAACTCAAGTCTATTCAAGTAGTCCTGGTGTGAAGAAGGTTCACACTGTCAAATTCCTTCCTTTCAGCCAGCCTGTCTTTGTGAATGTCCCCTTGTATGTCTTCATTTTGGCCAAAGTACTTCTGTGTCAGATAGGCATTCCAGTGTTAAGTTTTCTTGATTCCCTTTTGCTAACAGGTAACTCTCCTGGTCCTCTTGAGAGTAATTTCAGTTTCTCTGAATAACTTGCTGTCTCAATTGCTGAGGCAAATCCCACAATTTCTCTTTCTTAGTTTTCAAGACCCCATTCCTCCTCTAAGGCTTATTCTGAACACCTTTCTCCTCTTACTACTTCTTATGCTCAGACTTCACTCTTACTATTATTGCTTACTTAGTAAATTATTTTTCCTATCTTTAGATTTGAGCTAATACAACTTATAAAAAATGTAATGGTGAGAATGAAAGTTTCTCAATGACTGATGTTACAAATTTCAAATAAAGCCGAGCAGCTGACTGAATGGAATTTCCTGAAACCCTAGAAAGTTGCCTAGATACTTGTAAACTGTTACAATCATCAGTCATTCAATTACAGGACAAATATTCTTACATGAAAATTGCATGATAGATACATAGCATAATATAAAAATTCAGTACCAGAAAATTAAGTCTTAAGTGAAAAGAAAACTGTCTGTAGGACATGGACAAAGTTGTACCTTAGGATTTGCTAAGCCTTTTAAAACAAAATGGAGAAGTAAAAGAAATAATTTGGAAAAGTTATCAGCTTCAATCTAAATTCCAGGTGGTTTTACAGTGAGAGGAAGACATCCAGAAAGAGAACAGTAGCCTCTTCAAGCCTTTTCATCACTTCTTAAATCACTTCTGAACTCCGTTCTAAAGATGACTGAGTTTGTACAGGAGACAGATTAATCCTTTAGAAGCATATTATCCTTTCTGGTCCACAAGCTGCACATAGCTTTGCTTGATTTAGTTAACCTACTAATATGGGACATTTTCCTCAGTATTTGGGTCTTGTATGAGAAATCTGTTTTACTGAGAAAGATGGGAAGACCTAGACAGTAGAATGTCACAACAAGACAAAGTTGTCATAGGATGGGAAGAAAATTGTTCAATTTTTATAAGGTATCAGTATTGGCTTTATTGTGTATTAATTCTCTTCTTGCTTTTTGGGGGAAGCTGTTGTTTCTCTCTCTTTGCCTTGCCCCTAGCCTTCACTCTGATTTATTAGAGAGCTTCCTTTGGCTGCTGATGTCAGGGAGCAGCAAGAATAAGGCTGTTCCACAAGGAAAGAGGAGGCAAGGGTGACCACAACACAGGCAGGACAGTGCCCTCACCAGCTGGGGATAATCCCACAACATCTGAACAGGACCACAGTTGTGACAGTGAAAAGTTTCACTGGCAGCCCCAGAGAGAGCAAGACAATAAGTCAGATGCAGGGTTCGTCCAGAAAGTCCGTTTGGGAACAGCAGAAGATGGTGCTACCTATAACACATACCTGAAGTCCACACTGGAGACATGGCAACCTACAACCTGAGTCTAGGTCCATCCGTGAAGCCCAGTCAGTAAGTCACTACAGGAGGGGACAGAGCGTCCTACAACATAACTCAAAGACATAGCTGGAGCTCAGCCCTGATCTTAACTGGAGCTCTTGGACCAATGAGCAGAGGGTGCATGAGTAGGTACCCCAAGGGATAATTTCCCTATCTTGGAGGGAAATTAAGGGGAGTCCTAACAGCTGGAAGAAATAGTCTTAAAACTCAAACACTCTGTTTCCCCAGTGAAAATTATTCAGTGATTGGGATTGCTGGTGGAGACTACTGTTGTTAGGTACTCTAATCCTGTGGAATTTCAACAGGACTTGAGCTGAGCATCTAATTCGCTCAGTCCAGGTCTCCTTCAGAAGCCTTTCAGTAGATAAGAAAATCAATTGTCTACAACAATGGTGTATGTTCTTTTACATATGTAGAACAAGCATTTACTCCTTGCAAATTACAGTGAAACATCTGGAAACATCTGATGTACATTGAGTATCTGCAGATATCCTAGTAGCTACTACAGTTAAAATAGACTGCTTCAAGTTGATTATGGAATTTAAAGGAAAAGAGATTCAAATTTCACAAACATATAGAGGAAAGAGGTATTATATGACCCTGATTGAAAAAATAGGTTCATATAATAATCTTTGAGGGAGAAGGGTTATCTAAGAACTGCGCAATAAAATTGATGTTGGCAATTCCCTATGTTAATTTTTTCAAGCAGATAGTTTACGCAAAATAAGAAATTTTGCACTATATTAACTGGAGACAGGCATGACTGCCCTGGAGATGTACTTACTGCGAGATCCCTGCCACGCTTTCCTTCAATGTTGCAAATCAAGCCAGTGCCAGGATATTGCCACATCAGAGCAAAACTTTGCATTAAAGATAGTGTTTTATCACAAACTCACAGAACTGGTTTCATGCATGTTTTGCTCTTGGAGTATTGTACAAAACTCTTTGCTGTGGTATTGTAAGTAACATAAAACAAAAATCACATTTTGATAGGTCTGAACTTAATCCTAAGTGCAATACCAAATATTTAAAACAAGCAGTTCTGTAGCATTTAGACAATAGTTAAATTAGACTAACAATGAAAGTTCCCCTATATGTTAGAGATTTCTTTGAACTGTATTGTCAAAACCCTGTGGTTTCCTGTGCCAGAAACACATTTACACATGCTACCTTCTCCCCATTTTTGTTTGCAAATTTAGCTACTTTTTTTCAAGTATTTTACTGTTCAACTAGGAGACTTTAAAAAGTGGAACTTTACATACCTGTTATAAAGTAATTTTGAGCCATGAATGTCATAACCCAGATGAAAAACACTGCTGAGGTAACTCCAAAATAAGTTGCCATTGTCACCAGCTTGGAAAATTAAGAAAGTCAAGGTGATTTTGTCTCCTGTGCTAAGAAAAGTTAAGGTATTGGATACTATCAAACCACCTTTGAGATGACTTCTTGAAAGCAACTTCAGCTGTCACTGCACTGCTTCATAGAAAGAACGTCAGAGCAAATGCATTGACTGTCCCACTCAAAGTTGAAGTCACTGACTGGAAATCCCTAATCACCCTTTACTCTGTCTGTCATGTAGGGCTTGCTGGAAAATTTAACTACTGCTGACTCAGAAAACACAGCTGAGGAAGGAAGATAAGACTGCTAAGTCTGTAAACACTTTGAAAGAAGTTTTTCTTTTGCTATTTTTTCCTGTTTTACTGATTAATAGCTCATTACTCATGTTGTCTATTCATCTGGTAAATAAACCAAATTTTTTATTGTATCACAGCATATGAGGCAGGATTTTTCTTTTGGAATTGGAAGGGCATCCATTCCTCACTATCCTATATGTCTTGATGTAGTACTTTTACCTTCCTTTGCCTTAGAGTTCCAATGCAAAAATAGGTACCATAACACAGAGATATGATAGCTAATTTTGAAGAGATTTGGAGAAACACTACCATAAATAGCATTCCTAGTGAGACTGTGGGGCAGAGGTGGGAGCCAGTCCCTCTGCTGCTGCCTTTTGTGAAGTTCCAACAAACAGTGACTCCAACAGACTGATTCAAAACACAGATGATCCGCACAACTGTAACTTAGAAATATCTTCAGGAAGTCTTAGGAAAAAAATGATTTTTTTGCAGAGATTCCAACAAAAATAGAGCGGGAACGGAGTTCAAGAGATCAGCTAGTTCCTTCTACTGTCAGTAGGATCAGCTGTGTTTATGTTTTTCCTGACAGATGTTTGTCTAACCTGTTCTTAAAGACTTCCAGTGACAAATTCCTAACATTTTCTCAAATGCTCTATTCCAGTGCTTCACTATCCTTTACCGTTAAAAGGTATTCCCTAGCCTAAACTGACTTACCCATACCTATGTTCATGTAAACCTATCACTTCTTTTCCTGTTGGAAATGGACACGGAAAATAGTTTATTCTCTTACATTTTGCAACAATCCTGCCTATTTAACAAGTTACACTCCCACTTTTCTTTCAGCTAAGAAGCCACAGCTTGCTCACTCTCTCTCTAGCTGAGGCCTTGCCTTTACCTGCTTATGCAGTTCAGAACAGTATAAGCCTTTTTTTTAACAGGACGATTTTGTTACATCATGTTGTTTGTGATTCAGTAAACTTTTAGATGTCTTACATCCCCAGGCTGTTTTCAAGGTCTTGTAAACAGAAGTAAAACAGTAGCTACCTCTTCAAACTGTGGCTTACATTGTAGAAAGTTCCCACTTAATACAGTAAGATAGTGCTAACTTATCCGGGCACAGGCCCAATCTCCTATAGCAGCATACAACATGGTTATGGGTATACTATAACACACAGAGGCATCTACAGTAGAGAGAGTTCTCTGCTCTCCAAGTGGAGGACACAATGGTTTAATGAAATGATGTCTCCATTAGCAACAAAGAAAAGAAAATTGGGCTGTTTGGGCTGTGGTTTGGAGCTGAATGCTGGTAAAGGTCCTTGAGATCTTAAGACAAATTTCTGGCTTCAATTTCTGTTCACTCCTTTATTGCGATGTACTTATCTGCCTCTACTAAGTGATGGCAATCTGAAATACTGTAACCAGACTTACTCTCATTGAAGCAAGTTCTAAGTGGATTCACTTGCATTTACAATGGAGGAGCACAAACTAGTAGTTATTCTGTAGCTCTCGTGAACTAGTAGACTGTGGCTGTAAAACACTGAGAACATAAAACAAAAATCTTACCATCTCCATGCTTACCTTGAACTGTTAGTATTTCCTACCATGAAAACTAATCAAAAGCTGACGTTGTAAAATTGCATGCTAATTGTCCTTCCAAGTTTTAACACTTTGTGCCTATTATCCTCACTGTGGCAAAGTTTCTTTAGTCAAACTGTCCATGCTATGGATGTTTAGTAGGATTTTCAGCTGGAAAAATGAGATAAAACACCTTTGTAACACAAAACAGAAAAATAAGCTCCTTCATATGGTTTTGTAAGAGCAAACTACAGATTAGGAGAGGGAGAAAAGAATTTTAGAATGATGAAGCCAGACTGAAATAGCCTCTTTTTTCTTTTGTCAGTTTCTTCCTTTTTTTTTTTTATTTCAGCTGTTCTAAAACTGTAACAGTATAAAAGGTCTTTAACCTATTTGTGGGTCTTCACCTTAACTTGTGTGGTGGAAAAAAAAGCAGCCTTATACTGAATGTGTAATTAGCATTTGACCCAAATACTTATAGTAACCTATAAAGAGAATTCCCAGCATCTCATGCCAGTACGTTTTAAAACGCTAATGAGGATTGCTAAACAGAAAACTTTTGACATGGGAAAACAGACTTAACTGTTCTCTACAATAATTTCTAAAGCAACCTTGAAGCCTGAACAACAGGAGAGGAAACAAGTTAAAAAAAATATTTATGTGGAAAATACAAGTATCAGCATCTTTTCCTGGTAACAGTCATTCCTTTCAAGGTTGTCACTGTCCCAAAGTTTTTCTCCCTGACACAGACTATCAGAAATTCAGAAGAGACATTTATGTTCTTTGTGGAAATTGAGCTTTGTCTCCTTCCCACTGGTCTGGCAGTTCAGCTCTCCACAAAGCCCAGGCTTCCCAGACCTCCCAAGCCTACAAGAACACAAAGCAAATAAAGAATCCTAACCTTTCACTCAGTCTCCTTTGGTTACAGATCTCCCTTGTGGCTTTCCGTGTTCAACCTCCTCAGTGACAGGCAGCCTCCCTCTGAAGTAGGAGTTAAACTCTCTCCAGGATATTTTAGTTTCCTCTCTCATCTCTTTTCTAGGGTATGACAGGGATGACCCTGCTTACAAACACTTTCTCTACTGAAACAGGAGTTTGCTTGCTTCTTCTACATCATTTTCCTGAAGAACTGAAAGACTAACAACAGGATCTTTGGTACGTGTAACATGGCACTACAGTACGCAGTATCGACAAGGTAGTATGTATTTTGTAAGAACATAGACATTAATATACAGACAGAGTGCATGTAAAAAACAAACCTTTAAAGTAGCAACATTGAGGACTTTGAAACCATATTTTTATTTGAAAACTCAAGTATGTGATGCTATACAGTACAATACCAGCACACTTGTGCAAAATCTTACAATATTACAAACTTAAATATGATACACAAAAATAGTGCTCTTTTAAAATTCCTTTTAATAGAAACATCTGTGCTGTGCAGGAAAAACAATAAACGTGTCTTGTTAAAGCAGAAAAATAAATATTGCACCTCAAGAAAACTATTTCAGTGTTACTAGCATAAATAATAGATCTATTCCTTGTTATCTGATGTGATCTTTGAACACAGAAGAGGTTGTTTTTTTTTCCGGATAAAGCAAACTAACATCCAACAGATAAAATTAAATTTAGAATAGTTTTTGAGCTCAATCTAGTTTCCTATTAAAAAAAGGTGTTTTCATTAACTAACTAAAAAATATAAGCAAAAATATTTAATGTGCTGTTAGTCATTGTGGTTCATTGTTTTTAGTGGACAGTTTGCTCAAAGTAGTCATAAAAAGAACAACATTTTTTTAAAAAATAAACTTTATCTTCATCTTTTCATCTCCATTAAAATCTCTTGCCTCTTTCAGCCCATTAGCCACCACAATGAATAACTTTGTGGCTAAATTATACTTGCCTTAGACACGCAAGTAGTTCAGTTCAAATCAGTACAACTACTTATGGAAATTCGGCGTTGTGCACTAAGTCCACAAAAAGCCAGTGTGCTGAATTTCAAGAGGATGGAGACCTCATTCACCCACTGACCAGAAAAAACTTAGCACATGTTTAACATTAAGCAGTTCAAGAGTCCTACTGATACCAATAACTTTATACATGTACTTAAAAGAAGGTGTTGAAGCCACATCAATGCAGATGTAAATAAGAGTGATATAATAGGCATCGTTACTCATTTTTCCTCAGTGCAGCCCAACATTTCCACATTCACATAATCAAACATATGCCATAACTTTTGGCATAGAGGATTCTGAATCTTCAGGACTATTTAACTTCAATTTTTATTGCCTTATTAAGTTATCGATTCCATTTGTAAAGAAAATTAAGTTAAAGAAGTTGGTTTTAATAAAGAAGTATTCAAAGAGCAACTGACAAGTTTCTTCAAATACTTGAAAGTACGTGGAAATGTCAGAGTAGTTCTTCATAGTCAGATATTCTAACTGAACCAAACAGATACCAAGTAATTTGCAAGAAACTTTCTTCTGTCTTATTCTTTACCAATTACAATTTTAAAGCAAATGACACTTTCCCATTATCCTTTTTGAACTTCCTTAAGCACACTATTCCTCAACAATCTATACTTTAAAATAAAAAATAAGCCTCCCAACTGCTTAGACACTTGCCTCCCCACCCCCTAAAAAAAGTGGTAGTGGTCTTTTTCTTAAAAAAAAAAAAAAAATTCTTTTCTTTCTCCATCTAAATGTTTCTTAAGAAACATGTGGCTAAAAATGAAATAAAATTCATCAGCAGGATATTTGTTCCTAGTGCCAGATACGTGAATTAATTTTCTGACTGAGTTAGAAACCTGTTTTCTTTGATAGTTAGCTTGAGGTTCAGTGTTTACACCAAAGAAAACAAGACAACACTAACTGCATCTGAACTGAAATGACAGTACTTCATAAAACACTTATATCCTTCAGTTGGCAAATAGACCTGTTAATCAGTCAGAAAATGCCAGAAGAACGCAAGACACAAGTGCAATCAAGTGTCACACTGATTTTGATATTGTGGTTAGATTCAAGCATATAGCTACGGAAAGACAAAC